GGCCGTGTTTCGTTTTCTTGTTCTGCTCTGGTTTATTTGATGGTTTTATTGAAATATGTCATCAGGTATTTCAGCCATCATCAGCCTATTTGTTTTGGCTTTATTGTTGCGTTATAGGACTACTATTATATACAAACACAAGTTAAAAACACGTCTCCAGTGATCCAAGAAGAAGACAGAAAGCTGTTAAAGTTTCCAGTCACGTGTCTTGATCAATACCAGGCACCAAAAACAGCTCTATCAGACTAGAATCAGATTTGTTTTATCATTTTAACATCATCAAAGTGAATCTTTAAGCAGTTTTGTGAATTCTGTCTTTTACAGGTTCACTTACGGACATGCTGGTACAGTCCACCAAGGCGTCGTCTACATCTCAGGTGGTCACGACTATCAGATCGGTCCATACCGCCAAGATGTCCTGAGTTACGACCCGTCGCGGGACGGTGAGGTTTGGGTGGAATGCCAGCCCATGTCTTATGCCCGAGGGTGGCACTGCATGGCCTCCCTCAACAACCTCATCTATGCAATTGGAGGCAGCGACGATCATGCGGACACCTCTGAGCGCTTCGACATCTTGCAGGTGGAGTCCTACAACCCACAAGGCGGCCAGTGGACTCAGGTGGCTCCGCTGCTGCTGCCCAACAGTGAGGCGGGGCTGGCGGTCTGGGCAGGAAAGATTTATGTGCTCGGCGGCTACAGCTGGGAGAGCATGGCATTCTCCAGAGTCACTCAAGTGTATGACCCTGATAAGTGCTCATGGTCCAGAGGGTCGGACCTGCCCAAACGTATTGCGGGGGCATCAGCATGTGTGTGCACCGTTAAACCTTCACCTCAGTCAGCTTCTGTGGAGAAAAGGAAAATGGGGCGTGTGGTGAATGGAAGATTACAGCCCTCTCAGTAGTAAAGAGGGAGACTTTTGACTTCACAAAGCTCCTGATACCCTCACGGGGACATCATTGTTTTGGTTCGCCTCCTAAACTGATCTGAACCTTTGCAGTATCAAAGTAGAGAAGGAAAAGGGCAAATAGGATTAAAAACAAATGTAACGCCTTAAAATCACTTTGCTGACCAAAACAAATTGTGATGGATATTGTGCATGTACAGTTAGGTCATTTTTTTTAAACTTTGAAACCAAAAATATATTTTAGTATTTTGGTGCTTGTACATTTTGTAGGCGATTTTAAAAGAAACAAGTACTCGTGGCATTTTTATGGGGAACCAGTATCATGTACTGTACAGCAGCATGTCCCACATTTCATCAGCTGAAAAACAATCCGTTAAATCAGCTCAGTAAACAGCAGGGCCGACCCAAACTTCAACTGTTGCCAGGACACGTCATTTTTCAAATTGGCTCTTTAATTATCATACAGTTTGAACATTAACAAAAATCTTAACCTGTAAAACAAATAAATAAACCAACGTATACTTTGTGTGCTAATATTAACTTTAACAGCACTGGATTAGGGACAGCAGTATATGATCACATAACAAGCTTGCAGTTTCTTAACCAACATGTCAAATGCTGGATGTTAAAGTGTAAAAAGGGAATATTATATACATGTATTAATAAAACATGGACAGTACAGTCATTTTGTAAAATACAACATAAATGCTAACAAGTTAAGCTATCAGATCACTAATTATCTCTTTTGTTTTTTCTATGTCAAATAATGAATCAAATAAAACATTCCCAAAAAGGTCTGAAATTCATCTGCTGCTATATGTTTAGCATTAAATTTATAGAAGTGCAATCAGTCTTGTTTCAATGCAAAAACTGACTCAAAACAACAACAAAAGACTAAACTTGTTCAATAACCATAAAACTTCCAAAAACTAGAGAAGCAGTGTTTAAGACGTTAAATGGCTTCACACAGGCAAAGGAACACTTTGCTCACTGTTTTATGATGGGTCTGTGCTGACTGGATGAAAACTTGACTTTCTGAAAAACATCTTGACTGATGCAGAACTCCAAACAATTGGTTTATTTATTTGATGTTTTAAAGGCTGTCTGTGAACATGTTTTAACTGATCTGAGTAAAACACTGTTACACACCAAAGAAAGTCTCTTATTGCTGTATATTGTAATAAAAGCATTTGTTAGGTACATTTTTAAACTATAAATCCATAAAATCATCACTCCGTCAATTTGATCAGATTTAATAAACGGTGTGTGACGTTTTAACGTCAGTCCATCCAGTTTGGCTTCTTCTGACTCATTCAAAAGGGTAGTAAGGATGAGACTTGATCCTGCAAAACAAAACAACACTTGTGATTTAGAAAACAGCAGCACCGTATAAGAGATAGTCATTATAAAAGCTGGTCGGGGACGTACTCGTCCAAAACGCAGGACTTCCACCCTCGGTCCAGACCTCTCAGTGCATTCACGTCTTCTTCAGTGAGGCTGAAGTCAAAGATCTGGACCCACAACATGGAAACACATCAACAGCAGGGCTTTAACTCTCCCTGCTAACACTTCCCAATGAATGTTAACAGAGTAATTGGGGGGGAAATATTTTTGATATTTACTGTTTTTTTTGGTGCTGTACACCTATGAAGACTTTTCACCTTTGTGTTTTCAAGGATGTGATGAGGTCTCTCACTTTTAGGAATGACTGCAATGCCCTGCTGGACATGATACCTGAGCAACACCTGGGGAGGGGAGAAAAGCCTAGTTACACACAGGATGCATGCACGTGAACAGTACCGCACACTGACTGACCTGTGCAGGGCTGCGTTTGTGCTTTCTGGCTATTTCAGCAACAACGGGGTCCTCCAGCAGCTTGTAGGGATCTGTGTTGCTCCTTAACCTACAACAGACCAAACAGTCCAGGAGTCTATTTACCAGAACCAGTGATCAAAAAGAGGGGGGTCTGAATCATCTGCAGTGACGCAAAGTGACTCAAAATACTTTTTGGTAAAGCAAAATGCATAAGTTAATCTAAAATGATTGTAGAATTAACACCAAGTTGTGTAAAATGGCAAAAAATGAAAAAAACTACAAAGACAAATACATCTGCAGACAAACAATGATCATAGATTTTAAACATCCCATATGTAGAAATGAAACCCAAGAGGTCAGCAGCTGTGTCTTACAGTTCAGGGGGTCTTCCTGGGGAACCAAAGGGGCTGTAAGCTGTCAGCACAATGCTTTTGGATTTGCAGAACTCTATCATGTCCGTTTGGGCCATGTAGGGATGCAGCTCCACCTGAAAGAGACAGCCCAGTATCTTAAAAGTGGCTCGACATGACAAGCACTGTGCAGCATCTTTCTTCTTTTGTTCTGGTCTGATTTTTCCTAAAACGTAAAAAATTAAAAATGAGGCTCTTTATTTGTTTAAAGTTGACTGTTAGTCTAAACAAACACAAATATAATCTGTTCCATTTTGTAAGGTTGCGTTCTTGTACATTCTGCGCACCTGTGCCTCAAATCCTGAAGAGGTTTTGGGGCAGATTATAAACCATGAAAACATTTTTTATTTAAATATAAAATTGAAAGAAATGACACAAACTTATCTAGCAAGTAAATTATTTAAGGGTCCTATGAAAATCAGTAGCTAGGAAGCTGATGAGGTCATCGAATGAAAATAAAAGCTCTAAAAGATTTGATTATTTTTCGAGAAAGTCAAGTTATTGTAACTTCGATGTGCTTAAAATTGTCTGCAACATCCCTGATCTCTATTTACTAAGCTTTAGAAACATTTAGGAAAAACCTCACCCTTCTTTATTTAGTTTAAATAAGTAAAATAAATATGGTTGAGACTGTTTTTTTACTTCCTCAAACTCCTTCATGGCCACTTTTTAATCCATCCATCCATCCATCCATCCATTATCTTTACCCATTTATTCCATTTTGGGTCACGGGGGTCGCCGGTGCCCATGTCCAGCAATCACTGTGCGAGGGGCGGGGTACACCCTGGACGGGTCGCAAGTCCATCACAGGGCCACATAGAGACAAACGAGACAAACAACCATTCACTCTCTCACTCACACCTAGACTAACATGCATGTTTTTGGTCTGTGGGAGGAAACCGGAGTACCCGGAGAAAACCCACGCATGCACGGAGAGAACATGCAAGCTCCACCCAGAAGGGCCCCCTGACCGAGATTTGAACCAGGGACCTGCTCGCTGAGAGGCAGCAGCTCTACCAGTTGCGCCACCGTGCTGCCCGCCACTTTTTAATAATTTTTTTTAATTTAATTTTAACATTTTGTGAGTTGCTTGAAGCGACTCCAGCAGTTATTCTAAACGCCAACTTTCCCCTCGCTACAAATGAAATTCAAGAGAAGAAATAATCACGTTTGTAAATTGTGTCTTATCAAAAAGCAAAAGTTCACGTTGCCAATAGATAAACACTTTTTTAACACAACATTCAGTGAAATAACCTGATTGTGAGAAGATGAGTTACTTATCGGGACAGAAAAGTGCAGCACCTGATTAACGGCGGGGGGGACTCTGCACAGAGCCATCAGTCTCTCCAGCTGCTGGATGCTGAAATTAGAAACACCAATATTTTTCACCTTCCCTGTGGCCTGCAGGGCCTCCATGCCCTGCAAACAACAACAGAACACATTTAATCACAATTTTTAAAATTAGTTTAATTTAATTCATCTTTTCTTTGATTGACGGACAGTTTTTCCTTTATTTACTTTTTTAAAGTCATATCACTATTTAGAAATACGAAATTTCTTCTTTTAAGTCATAATTGACTTTGTTTAACTGAATCTAATAAATATGTAAATTTAACTTTATATTGTATTCATTCACTTTTTTTTTTAAATGCGCATTTTTGTCCCATTTAATAACTTTTGTAGTATTTTAGTTTATTTTTAATGTTTCACACATTTTATTTTGAAAATACAAACCCATAGAAGATTGGTCAAATCTGGGTTGGAAGAAACAAAAACATACCTGAAGTTTGAGTTATATAAATATAATAAATATCAGTATCAATAACCTCAAAATCATTTAAATCACCATTTATAAGATCATGGCGGTGTTGGAGTTTTCCTGAACAACCTTTACTTAGTTGTTACAATAAAAAAACATTTTCTTTTTCATTTGAAAGTGAAAAATGTTTAATAACTTCAGAGACTAAGTTTTTTTGTCTTTAATTGGGTGATTAATTTACAAAATGTATTTTTTTTTTTTACATGTATAGATCTTTTATTAGTTTAAAGCTGATCATTTTGAGGTTCCATACAAACATTTCATAACTGGACGTTTTCTCACCCTCCACACATCAACATAGTCCACATCAGAGGTCCGAATCTTTCCATCTTTTTTCGGGAAAAGCTCATCACCCACTTTCTGCCGAAAAAATGTTACATTCAAAAAAGATTCTAAACACTTTTCGTTATTCTCACGTGTGCATTTAGATTTTCATTACTCTCTTAAATTATAAGATGAACAAAAATCAGTGGATGCCTGGAAAGTAGTTATAGTCAATTCATAATTGGGACAATAATATTTTGTCAGATTATGATGAATAAAAAACCTTTAGGCCGACGGGGAAATGCACAAGATAAAGATCCAAGTAGTCCAGCTGGAGGTCCTTCAGGGACTTGTTAAGACACACAGGAATGTCCTCTGGTTCATAATGAGTACACCACAACTGTGAAGACAAAAGTAAAGGAACACATTAAAACATAAATTTGGACTTTTTTTTTTTAATTGGGAAAGGCAATCCAAAAAGTAAAAAAAAAAAGTTTTTTTCGCACTGCTTCCTCACCTTGCTGACGATAAACATGTCTTCACGCCGGATGATGCCCTGATCCATTTTGGAGCGCAAAGCTTTGCCAATGTCCACCTCATTCTTGTAGCAGAAGGCTGTGTCAACGTGGCGATAACCAGCTGCTATAGCAGTTTCCACTGCCCCCTGGACCAAGGACCGCTGGACATGAGAGGGCTGAGACAAGGAAGACGTTTGGAGGGAATAAAAGGCCAAAGGTTACTGAACAAATTCAGTTTTTTAAAATGACTGCCGTTAAAATGTAACTGAAGACGTTTTCTGCAAAATCCAGTGTGAATGCTGAAAGACTTTACTGGCAAGATGAAGCTGAAACTGAGTTAAAGCTAAAAATGCATACAAATACCGTAAAGGCTAAAGGCAGTAAAATACTAGCTAAACGTAGTAAGAAAATAGATTAAAGCTAAAAGTAGCAAAAGGCTAGTTCACAGATAAAACTAACAAAAGGATAACTAAAAGGAAATGTAGCAAAAGGCTATATAGATAAATGCCAAAGTAGAGAAAGGAAGCTATAAAAGCAAAATTGTTTGAGGCTAGCTGAAGTTAGCAACAAGGTAATAAGCTGAAAGTGGCTGAAGTCTAGCTAAAAGCAAAAATTAACAAAAGGCTGGATAAAAATTTAAAATAACAAAAGGTTAATAAATAAAAAAAGTAGCTACAGCTAAAAGTGACTAAAGGCTAGCTAAAATTACAACAAGCTAACATAGTTAACACTAACACAGTTAACACTAACATAGCTAAATATAAGTTAATAATAAGTTAAAAGTAGTAAAGCTAGTTCTACGCTAAAACTGGCAGAAGACAAGCTAAAATTAAAAGTAGCAGATAAATGCCAAAGTAGAGAAAGGGTAGCTAAAAGCAAAAATGGTTGAGATTAGCTGAAGTAGCAACAAGCTAGGCATAAGCTAAAAGTGGCTAAAGTCTAGCTAAAAGCTAAAATTAGCAAGAAGCTGGATAAAAGTTAAAAATAGCAAAAAGTTCAAAAAATAAAAAGTGACTAAATGCTAGCTAAAATTACAAGCTAGGTATAATTTAAAAGTTGCAGAAGTCTATATTGAAGCTAAAACTGGCAAAACACTAGCTAAATGTTGAAAGTAGCAAAAGTCTAGATCGTTAAAAGGAAAAAAGTGTAGCTAAAAATGAAAGATGGCTAACGGCTAACTAAAAGTTCATTAAGATGACAAACTGAGCTAGTTGAAGCATATTTCAAAGAAAATAATGTTTTTAAGGAACTGAAAAGATCTCATTGTATTTATGTTTGAAAATGTTTGCAAATAAAGTATTTTCTAGTATTTTAGTATTTCTACTATTTTCTAGTATTAATACAACACAATAAAGTATTTCTAGTATATTTATTTTATATATTTATTAGCATTTTGTTTATTTTTTTTTAAGTATAAAAGTTATCGGGTAGAGGCAGGGCAGCCGACTCGGGACTTGAAAGTCCCAGGTTCAATCCCCAGTCATTGCACATCCCGTGGTGTCTCTGAGCAGGACATCCTATCCCCAATTGCTCCCCAGTCACTTTCAATAGCTGCCCACTGCTCCACCTGGGGGTGGATAGGTTAAATGCAGAGTGCCAATTTCACCATTGTTTGGGAACATACAATGATGACAACACATAATACATTATTATTATTATTATTATTATTATTATTATTACACAAAAATTATAGCACTCATCTCCCATATATGAGCTGAGAGTTTTAATATGTAAACCGCTACAATCACCAAAAAAAAAAGTATTTTAAGTAGTTAGGTCGTTAAAAAAAAAACATGAAAAACAAAACAACATAAAAGAATCTGAAACAGCTGTGTCAAACTCAATTTGAAATAAGTATAAAAAACAACTGTGAGGTGAACATTAGTGAGCAAACTGGTGCAACGGATACACATGAAATCAGATGAAATATTCAGTAATGTTTATCTAATGTTTAACTAATCAGTACAGCCTTTTGTGTCACTTTTCACATGAAGACTCCGTCATGACAAGTTTAATGCTGAATCAAACAGCAGATTGAAAAGCGAATGTTCAGTGATGCTCTCATGTTAAACAGTATGTAGCAATCTTTAAAACTTTATAACTTTTCCCAAAGTCAACTCTCTACCATGACTTTTGGTGCATTTTGTGATGTTTCACACTGTAGCAGGTGCATCAGGGACAGTTTGCATCATAATTTGCATAATTTTGTTTCTTTTCATTTTGAATGTGGTAAAACATGATCCTTTAAGCTGAATAACTGGTTCTGCAGAACACCCAGCTAAAGAGAAATCAAATATACATACAGCTAATATGTCACAGAATTTGTATTACGCTTGTTAACATGTTAACTGACAGGTTTGTGCTCCTCTGAAAGTGATAAAACTGCAGATAGCTGGTCTTAAAAGTTTATGAAGGTCATAAATATAACAATTAGTAAAACTGAATTATTATTGTTTTTTTTTTATCTAAGTTTTGAACCCAACCAAATTGTACTTCTCGTCACTTCCTCTACTTTGTCCACCCCATTAAAGAATAAATATCAACCAATCAGAGTCCAGTTTTTATTGTCACATGCTAAAGTTCATTTAGAGTTGAATTATTTGAAACCATGAAAATTAGTCTCGCAAAAAAAAAAACAGACGCTACACCAATTTATTTTATTTGCTATCCCAAAGCAGAAAATATGTAAGTGTAAATACAAGTAAAAAAAAGGCAGACATAAAACCCCCCTCTCCTTTAGTTAGTGTCTCATCATATCCATTAACTCGCATTGATTCATTTTCTATTAAATTAACAAAAACATGCACTGCTTTATCGAAAAGCAACAAATCATAAGCTCATCATGTGAAACGTATTAAAACAGAATAAAGTTTCTACAGATGTTTGACCGTGTTTACCTTCCATGTGCCGAGGCCCAGGAGGGGCATTCGTGTGCCGTCATTCAGCTGGACATGCCTGACCACCGGTGTGTCGTCCATCGAGTACATTTTAGACACAACGGAGGAGAATAAACAAGTGCAGCACTAACTGTCACATGGCTTTCCTCTTCCCCTTTTTCCTCTTCGGCTGTTTCTGCTGTGTCAACAAGCTTCCTTTTGCTCTGCTGACTTTACTTCATCTTACGCGTTTCTGCTCACCTCTGATTCGGTTAATTTAGTTCACGATTCATTTTTCCCCCTTCCTTATATGTGAAGAAGTTAATTATTGATTCAAAGTCCTTCACTTCCAGCAAGTATTTACGAGTAAATGCTAAGTGAGTACGGACACGTTTCAAAGGTCACTTTTTCTCATATTGGCAGCAGAACACACACACACACACCAGCACGAAGACTGTACTGTAGTGTTGTCAATTTAACATTAAATGGTAATGTTGAACTGTTCTGTGGAGCTGAGTTTTATCAAATTCACATCCAGTGTTTAGGATTTTAATCCTCTACTGTAACCCAGCACTTTTCCTCTTGCCGTTCATGGGTGTAATTTTTGTTCTGTTCTGATGAAATCTGAGAATCAACATGATTAAAAGCCTTCCTGTTGATAATCATAAACTCCTACCAAGATTCTGGAAACTGAAACCAACACTACCTTAAGCAACACTGCAACTTTAAGTCATAGTACCATAACAGGAGCTATATTGGTAATAAATTATATTAACAATCTTCGGTACAATGGATTAGTTATAACTGTTGCCTTAAAAGGTCCTGGGTTCAAGCCCCGGCTTGGGCCTGGGGTCTGTCTGTGTGGAGTTTGCATGTTCTCCTTGACATGCTGGGCTGCTCTGCCTGAAGATGCTGCTTCCATTAAAATCCCATGAACATAAATTTGATGCTGATTAAAATGCACTTGTGCTGCTGACAATGGCTTTTGTCGGGTGATTATTTACTCTGGTATCGGATGCTGTGCAGCTGGAAGGATTTTCACAGAAAAAAATTATTTTTGGGCATTTGTTATGATATGTAAACATGGCAACAAAGTTTTTTTTTTTAACAACCAGGAGCAGCTGATTAACATCTCAAAAGTTCAAATACCTCAACTACAGCCCCAAATCCCAAATCAGTTGAAAAAGAGGCGCCATGGATGAATTCCTGTCAACCTGGCGGTGTTTGAGTACCTGCACTGAAATCCTGAAGCTGGTGGGAAACGTGGATTGTGACAACGGGAGGACCGGGATCATCCCCCAGCACCTTCAGTTGTCTGCCTGTGGCGACAAGGAGCTCAGCAGACTGCTGGGAGGAGTGACCGTGGCTCAGGGAGGAATTTTGCTTGGCATTCTGGCAGTCCTGCTGTCCAGGAGGACTGAGAGGCCCGCTAAATATGACATCAAGCTGGATCTGGGTGGACGGATCGGTATCTGTGGCCAGATTCTTTGGATTTGCTGCAGGAGATCCTTCCTGCCCACAGCTATCAGCCTCTATAACAACTCTTGACTGAAACCAGGATGATGAGCTACGACAACACTTAATTTCCCTTTGGGATTAATAAAGTATTTTTGAATTGAATTTGTGTCCTTACCATACATGCTCTGCAAGAAGCTAGTACAAGTTACCAGCTTTAATGACTTTATTAAATATTCTGTTAATTAAAGTTAACTCAGCTGAAAATCATAAAGACACAAAATTATTGGATCTCTCAGGAATATTGCCCTCAAGAAGAAGAGCTACAGCATTTAGTTCAACTTTATTCTAACCCACAGATGTACAAATCACAAAACAAGAATTAAACTTTAAAGCAAAACTAAAATAAAAATAATAAAAAATCTGTATACAAGAAACAAAACCACACATCTAAATTGAACAATAAAAGTAGATCCAATGAGTGCAAATACATCAAACGATGAGGAAAACATATACAATTTTAAATATACATAGATGTTTTTGTAGAAACTGGTACATCAGAAATTTAATGGTTCATT